GATGAGCAAAGGGGTCCAGATCAGGCCGGTGAAACCCACAGAAACAGGTGACCTGAACAACGGGGAGCTCTTGGTCCCTAGACTGATAGCTGGGAAACCAGCACGGGACTGATCCAGACCCCAGGAACGTGGGTGTCAGTGAGGAGACCTCAGAAATCTATGGGGCCTCCTGTAGTAGATCAGTACTTATCCCTAGTATAGGAATGGACTTTTGGAGCCCATTCCACATAGAGGGATACTCCCTGAGCCAAGACATACAGGGGTGGGCCTAGGCCCTATCCCAAAGGATATGACAGACTCTGATGACCCTCTATGGAAGGCCTCACCCTCCCTGGAGACCAGAAAGGGTATGTGATAGGTGCGGTTTTAGTTGGGGGGGTTGTAGGGAAGGAGGGGAAGGAGAGGGAATTCGGATTGACATGTAAAACAATCTTGTTTCTAATTCAAATAAAAAAATAAACAGAAAAAAGGAAAAAATAAAATAAAGTTTATAGTTTTATTAAAGGCAAACAGCAACTTCACACCAAATTATAAACACCATAGAATCCGATGTAAAGATCCCGTTTTAGAAATTTGTACTGTGGATAAATACATATCACTGTACAAATTCCATTCAGGGTGCTTCACCTTGCTTATGAAGAGCCAACCGAGAACCAGCACCCACTGGGAGTTGGTTAACAAGCTGCTGAACACAGAGCATGTGACACACACGTAAACCCAGGGAGATGGCTGTCAATAAAATGATTGCCAACAACCTAAGATGGCCCAAGTTCAGTTCCCAACCTCTACATTAAAAAGGAAAAGAATCAGTAGATGTGGGACCAGCAGGATGGCTCAAAGAGTAAAGGTGCTTGCTGCAAAACCCGATGACCCGACTTGGATCCCCAGGAGCTACACGGTGAAAGAAGGAAACTGACTACTGCACGTTGTTCTCCGACCTCTTTATGTATGCCACAACACTTATGTGCATGTGCGTGCACACACATTCGCACGCGAACATACACACACACACACACACACACACACAAATAAATGTAAAACAACAATAAGTGTGGTGTCACTTGTCTATACATCCTAACCCCTGGGAGGCAGCAACAGCTGGATCCCTCAAGCTTACTGGCCAGCCAATCTAGCCAATCAGTAAACTTAAGGGTCAGTGAGAGATCCATCTCAAAAACCAAGGTAGGGGGTGATCAAGGAAGACACCTGATATGAATGCTGGCCTCTACACACACAAAGAAGGAAAGGAAAAGAAAGACATACAGAGGTAGAGAAGCAGTCACTTCATCATGGGAGGTGCCCACACCAATACTGGGCCTGATTTCATGGCCCAGTATTCTGATTCTGCAAGGGCAGAGGGTGCTAGGAAGGCCAGGAGTAGCCTTTTCCTATTGCTTCCAAATGAACCTGAGAGAAACGTGGATAAACCTCAGACCTGACTGTTTCACCCGCTGTCAGCCCCTGTTTGCTGGGTTTAAGCCAGCAGTGACAGAGCAGTAGACATGCAGTCAAGGTGATACAATTGATGGTGCATGTTCAGACACCAGCTTTTGCCTCATGACCTTACCACTTCTTCCCCGCCATCAGCCACCAGCACCGTGAAGAGGAAGGTTTGAGACTTGCTCTCCATCTCCACACACCAATACCAGTGAGCATACCCTTGCTCTTCGAAACAGTGTCCTGTCATAGAGAGGGGGGGCAGGAGTGGGAACCTGCCTCATCTCTCTTCTCCTGAAGAAGCAGGAAGACTAACCGTGAACCCAGGCCAAGATGCCAGCTTCCTCCACAGCATTGGTACTTCCTGTCTCAGGGGAGCTCCCCTGGGCTTTTGTCCAAATGGTGGAAACCAACTCCTAACTCAAGGTGCCCTAGCAGAGCTATGGTTGTGCCGGAACTGTCACCTCCAAGTGACACATGCATGTCTTTGCTCTTACCTGGGGTTAAACCAGTCTGAGAGCTGAAGTTCTTCTTCCTGGAGGCCCCTGGTACAAAGAGCAGCAGGTTATTGAGGGCATTCGTTTGCTCAGTGCTTACCCACTGAGCCCACACAAGGCCGTCTCAGCTCCCTGGCTCTTTCCCTGTCCTCGCTGCCCAGCCTTAGCTTTCAGTGGCTTTGGGACAGGGCAGTGGTAGAGCTCTAGGGGCACAGTTTGAGGCTGAGGAAGTAGCTGGTGTCTCCTGTTCTGGAAGAGGACAAGCTGGCCTAGGGAACAGAGCAAGGGAACTGGGGTAGAGGCCATAAACAGCAGCAGAATGAAGAAAAAGGTACCTTGGTAGGAGGAGGAAAAGGTTACTAGAGAATGTCAACTCAAAAAAGAGTTATTTACATGATGTGACAAGGTCAGGAGTCCACGTATTCACCTGTGATTTCCACCCCCTTTTTTCTATGAAACAGGGTGTTAAACATGTAGTCCTGGCTGGCCTGGAACTCACTATGTAGAACAGGATGGCCTTGAGCTCACAAGAAGGCATTGCCTCTGCCTCAGAGCGCTAGGATTGAAAGTATCCACTACCCCGCCCCCCTACCTTGATCCCTTTAAGTGCAGATGTTTCTTGCTTACTATGGGGTGACACCCAGAAAAGCACACTGAGTGGAGGTAGCAGCTGTTTGAAGAGCAGTTTAACCCAATGACAGTTAAAATGCTCTGCCCACCTTCAGTGACCTCAGAACAGTGAGGTGTCTACAGCTGAACAAAGGCACCCACACTCAGCCTGCCATGCTATGAAGTGAGAGA